TTCCAAAATATAACCTATAGTTGCATCATCTGCAACGTTAAAATTAAAGCTATTGTCAAATTTTAAAACCCACTTAAAATCACCGTAGGGAAGAGACTGTACCATGGCCTAACCATACAGATTATTATTAGCGTCTAAATATACAATGTATGAAGTCTCCTCATTGACATTGTGCCCTTTCATATATTGATTATTTGCTTTAGCATAACGATTGGTACACCGACTTATTCCCCCTCTTATACCACGTCCAATAAAAATTATCATATCAATGTCAGTGAGCAGCTCTAGTTTTACATTTGTATATTTTAACATAGCATCCCAAGTAAAACCCGGTGTCGTGTAATAGTGTGCAGGATCTAACCCGTATGCATTTATGCATTGTTCACATACAATTTTTATAAAAATGTTTTTTTTTGGGGTAACTGAGTTTCTTCGAGTTTTTCCTTAGAGTCGAGATACTCATAAGGAAAAACTCTTTTCGGGTTAACAAATGAACTTTATCATCACTATAGGTTGAAAAGTTTGATTTAACAATTTTGTATTCGTTCAAATAAGATGCTAATTTGTCTAAAGATGATGCCATAAATCTAAATGAATCAATGAATCTAAATTTAACGAGACTTGCTTCAACATGTTTTGTAAAACTAACATATTTTTCCTTATTAATGAGAAGAACGTCAACTTTACCTTTTAAACACAGTCGCGATTGCTTTAATAATAAAATGCGCATCATAACCACCTAAATTATGGAAGACTACAGGAACTATTCTAGAATCTTGATAATTGACATTACAATCTTGATACGCTGCACCTCGATACAGGTTAGATGGCAATGATCTCTAACTTTTACATCTCCGTGCTTGATTGTTTTCGTACAAATATGGCAAATATTAGCTATTTTAAATGCGGCTATTTGATCTGCATTTAGAGTATCCATTGAAATATTTACCATAAATGTAGATTCAATTTTTTCCGCCAACTTTTTCATCTCTTTTGCAAACCATCTTGCCGGATCTTCTTCATTCCTGGGTGATGCCCTGTATTCATTTAAAGAGTCATTATAACTCTTTAAATAGAATCCTATGCTGAGAAGTTGATGTTGTTGAACTACTTCTGTGTGACACCACATAGATGAAGAATTCTCCCCTGGAACTAGTAAACTCTCGCAATCTGCATATATGAAGAATGGTACTTTTTCATTATTACTAAAATTCTTGAATTGAATAATATTATATCCAGGTTTAAGGTAAGATGATTTTAATGTTATTCATTTTCTGGCAATCCTCTGCCTGCTCAGTAAGTTTTTTGTTACTTCTAAAATAGTGCAGAAAACGATCGCAAATAAATAACGCATGCCCATCTGTTGAGACTTGGTTATTTATTAGATGCGATAAAGATTTTATCCAAACATAGTGGTATTTGTTGGAAATTGAGAAATCTTATTTTTCTTCTTTATCATTATCCTCATCAATGTAATGATCATCAACGCGTAAAAGATTAACATGTTTGGACCGTTTCTGCGAGGTTAGGTGTATTGGCGAGACGATGAATTTCCCCTTTCGTTCAACAAGACAATAAACGTGTACTAAAATATAGTGACATTTCAAGTAATTTATATGATCTAATAAAGTTAAGATTCTATGTCTTTGAGGAACTGAGAAGCTATATTTTCTAAAAAATTTAATTAAAATTGCATAATTTTGTCTAGACTTGTGATGTTACTGAAACGCACTAATGAGTCGATCGTAACCAGATTTTCTAGAGTATAACTCTATATTGTCAGCCTCAATGAAATTGTCTGAGGCTTCACACATCTCATTGAAACTATCAATAGAGGTGTATGGTTTAGATGTTTCGATATTTCTACGATTAGACTTTTTTTAATTCTGAAAAGGATTGTGTAAAGAAAAAGCTGAATAGAATGCTAAAAAGAACGATAAAAAGAATGCTGAAAATAACCTTAAAAATCTGAAAAACCTATCAAAAGAATTTGGAATTAGTTGGAAAGGAAGTGGTGGAATTAAAGGGGTGGGGGTAGTCATCAATGAAAAATGCTTTTTAAAGATGTCTGCCGAAGATGATGTTGCGAAACTTCACTTTGCTACTTTTAGTACATCTAAAACAGAATTACAATCAATTTGATGAATATTAATAGAAGTGTATGCAAATATATGTAATTTGAGTAAACTTACAATGCTGCTATCAAATTTAGCAATGCAAATGAATGTTTGTCTCTTGTAGGAAGATTGACTTGATATTCTTGAACTAAACAGTGTATATAAAACAGAAAAAAGGATTATGATTAATTTGATATAATTTATACATAAGAATATAAAACTAAGATTAACTTACGCTGATGCTCTTGGTACTGCTTCTTCAACAAAGTTTTGTACTGGAATGAGACCTCTGAAGAAGATTGCTGTAGATATATGACTAGTGACAGAGGTCTGATGCTGCTGATTCTGGAAGCTGGAACAGAATGACTTTCCTTGCCACGGAAAGCGCCTGAGGTACATGTAGTCCCCACCATTCACAACATCCCACCACTGAAATCCATCCCCACTTGACGCATGGACTACCAACGGGCCCGGTGACCGTACTCGCACATCTGCAGCGCACCTTTCACTTTTGAGTCATCCAATGTGTACCAAGCACAGCCACCCATTCCCAACCACCCACAATCCCGCGCTGTATCTCGTGAACCCTTTCTTCCTCGAGGTTCTGATTATGATTTTTGAATTTTTGGGACCGTATATGTTAATACATAGGAAAGACATATGCAAATTAGGGAGTGGTTGTGGCCATGAGGGTAGAAAGTGGGTGGTAATATTTAAAAAATATATATACAAATTAGGGAGTGGAGGGTAACCAAGAGGGTGGAAGTGGGTGGTAAGCGAGGTGACCAAACGGGTTAAAAATTTCAAAAATTCCTGCGAGCAACAGCGCCATCTTGCGACAACGGTCGGTAACACCAACCTAGCCAAAGGGGATAAAATTAAAAAATTCCCGCGAGCAACAGCGCCATCTCGCGACAACGGTCGGTAACAGCGACCAAGGTTAATGTAGAGTTACCATATGTCAGTAAGGCAGATTCCTACATAACCTGTATTTTAGAACTGGTACAGCCCTACTACTAATATTATCACATTTTTCATTCAAACTCAATCTTTTTTTTGTGACATTTTATTTATAAATAATTCTTCTAATAATTTTAATTCTAACAGTTCTTGAACGTGTTGCTTGAGCATCCTATGAATATTGACATGATATGATTACAAGTATTACCCATCAAAAAGGTAACTTTTGTTTTAGTTGCTAAATTTTCAAATTGAAAACAACAATCGATCAAGCGTCCGTTATTCTTCGCATTTGTGTGTCTGCTACTGAGAGGTTTTTATCCCATATATAAATCAATGTAATTTAACCGAGATTTTTAAACTTCGTCCGTTGAAGGAGATGTCTGCTATTAGTAAGAGAGGTATCACTGTAGTAATTTAATTAAAAACATCGATCATCTGCTATAATGAATATAAATAAAAAGAAAAAACACATGTATATTTATACTTATAACTAAGGCATCATATTCTCTTTGTAAAAGCCTACTAAACACGTAAGAAAAGAACTTAAGGCCATGTGGGAGAAAACCACGTGACCTAGTACAGGAAAAAGTGTCCCACAACTTTCAAATTTTATTTTGCTAGGATTAATATTTTAGGACGAAACTTGTATGGGATGGTAGAGGAGGGTCTAAAGAACTCCGCTGTTCTCGGTAAAAAAAAAATTTTTGCTCGAAAATGTTTAAAAAAAATTATTAAAAGTGGTGTAAATTTTAGTGCAATTTGGCGACTAAAGCATATCTTCTAAATAGACAGTGATAAAAAGATAAGTATACCAGTTCAAATTAAATGTAAAATGAATGAAACACACATTAAAAATGTAAAATAGATAATTAGCATAACAAAAATTATTATAAAGAAATTGTTGTTGTTAATTACCAACTTTTACAAAAATGCACATAGAGATATGCGGATTTTTCTTAATTGTGCATTTTGTTGGTCTGAAAAAAACTGACAAATATAAATTAGGTAATTGTTACAACAATAATTGTTATAAACAAATTATTGTTGTTAATTACCAACTTTTACAAAAACGCACATGGAGATATGCGGAATATTCTTAATTGTGCATTTTTTTTGGTCTGAACTCTGACTAATGGCAGTTAGTAATTTAGGTTTTTATTAAATATTTGGTGTTTTTAAAGAAAGTGTAATATTCTTTCTTTTCCTATTTTTTAATATTGTCTAAAAAGGCAAAATTCAATTTTGTTTAAATTCATAATTTTCTTTACTATTATAAATAATTAAACGCAATTTCATTTCATAATTTTCTATAGTACATTGTTTCAAAGAAATAATTTCTGCATAACGAACTGGGATCTCCTCATAGAGATAAGTCCCATACTTTCTTTCAATTTTTTATATTTTAAATAAATAAATTATATACTGTGTAAGATAGTATTGATATATTAAAGATTAATTAAAAAAATTTTTAAACATAATTCTTGTAATTTTTTTTAGAATTTTTATTTTGTTAAATGTTAATAACTCTGGATGGAAAAACCCGATAATCTTTGCTTATATGCCAAAAGATGCGCTTGGAAAAAGTACAAAATCAAAGAAAAATATTGATACGTGTTAATACCAAAGTTATGAACAAAAAACTTTTTTTGAAAATCTTAAAACGCAAAAAAATTAGTTAGATTTAGTTAATCTTGCTAAAAATCGTCTCATTTTACATTTCCCAATTTAAAAAAATTTAAGTCCCTAGCCTTCTTTGTTTTCAAGATATTTGTGCAAATTCAATTTGGACATCTATTTTTGTTTACGCTGGGTTGTTACAGAACCTGCAAAAGCTAGAAATCCTGAAAAATTCATGGATTTTCATGAAAGATCTAGAAATCCTGTAAATGTCATGAAAATTTGAAAACAGCCGTGTATAGCAACATTTATTAATGATTTATTTAGAGTAATTCGTTTATGTTTATAAAATATTACATGCATAAAACTATATACGTAGGATTAGAAATTACTAAATATTATTTAAACATACATTTTAGCGATAATCGAAATCGATTATACAAGAAATAGAATTATAATATTAATATAACAATATAAAAAAAAGATAGAGAAACTTGGTGCTTTTAAGTAATCATCATATCGTCACTTAAATTTGTGGACTTTGAAAGCTTCTCCCACAAGTACAGTCGTATAAGAAATTTTGACGAACTCCATAAGCTTGCAGACCTATTTCACAACAAAATAGCAAAAAATTATAATAAATATAAATATTTCTAATCTTTTGTTTCATAAATTAATTTTATTTATTATTAAATTTTTTAATCAAAGATTCTATAATTCTTTTAAAGGATTAAAAATTACAATACTATACGGGAACCAACATCATAGTATCAAAAATTTTTTAAATGCAAAATTTAAAGATTTCGTTATATTTTTGCTGAACTTTCTGCAATACTAGAATTTAGAGATAGATCAGTGATTATTAGAAATTTTAGATCATTAGAATTTAAAAATTAATTTAAACAATTATTTGGAAAAATTTTATTTAAAAATTTTAAAACTTTAAAATTTTCCTAAATTTGTGAGGGTAATTTTATCTTTCAAGCAATGTTCAAACAAACGTCAAAGATTTTAAAGAAAATACTGTCTGGTTTAAAAAAGATATAGTCTAGTATTCACTAAATTCAAGTAGATGCCTAGTATTTATTCTATGTTTCTGAAATTTTTTTTCTTGTGAAAGTCTAAAAACTCTGTGATTTTTAATTATTGAAAAATTAATTTTAAAAAATGTTTAAATTCAAATTCTACAGTTTTGTGCCTTGTATAATAAATAAATACATACATACATAAACCTGGAAAAAATTATTTTCTTAATAAAGGTTATTTTGTTTAGCAATGTGTAGATTTATTTACACAGAAGAAGTATTCTGAAATTTAAAAATATATACTTAGCACCTATTTTAGAATACTTAACACTTGAAATCAGTAAATACTATACTTAAAATAGGAATATATAATTGAGTATTTAGTACATATTCTAAATGAAATTACCAAATCATCAATTTTGTAGAGGCCCATTGCAGTTTCTGCAATTTCTCCCATTGTGGTCGTGTTGTCTTCTATGAAAATTATTGTTATTGTTGTGATTATTGTTGTTTTTGTTGTTATTATTATTTTTTATTTTTGGAAAATTTTGAAATTGTCGATTACCAGGATTCTGTAAAAAATATTTAGAAAAATTTAGAAGAAAGTTATTTACAAATTTTTAAGAGATTTTAAAAATTGTATTCTAAATTAAATTTTTTTATTTAAAATGCCATTTTAAAATCATTTTTAGCATCTTTGAAGTCAACACTCACTTTCGAATTATAGTAATTACGCCGATTTTTGGGATTTTCTGAATTATTTCTTGATGTGGATGGTAGATGATTTTTATTTATATTTTGAGCGGTATTTATTAAATTTTGAGATATCTCTTGCTCTTTTTGCAACAGTTGTTGCTCCTTTTGTAATAATTGTTGCTCTTTTTCCAACAAATGCTTTTCCTTTTGGAACAATTGTTACTCCTTAAGCAACACAATTTTTTTTTAATAAAGTCAAAACTGTCACAATTTATTTATTTATTATTATACATAAATTGTAAAAAAAATTTCTGTAATTTTACTACATTCATAGCAATATTAATATTACTTATGTTTCACGTAGTGATTTCACATATTTCAAAGTGACACATTTATTATGTTTTGTTGTATAATAGAAAGTTTATAGAAAATTGTCAATTTAATATTATAAAAGTATAAGCTTTTATTAACATACTGAAAATTTACTGATTTTAAATAAGTTGGTCTTACAAATTTTTGTAAAATTATAAGTTTAAATCGCAAATTAAATCAAAAAAATTTTAGTATACCTTAGGTTATGTTAACTACACACAACTCCGCAAATATTGAACAAAGATTGTTGATATTGTTTATTATAATTTTCTTTTATTTTTACATTATGAATATATGCATATAGAAATATATCTAGATATATAATAGCAGATATATTATAACTTAATATTTACTTACATATTTTTGGGAACATCAACGACGACAACAACGGTTAAAAGGCCGGTTTCAGACATTTTTTTAAACTCTAGTGGTGGGGGTTGTCCGCGTTTGTTACGTAAGTGTGGTGGCGCTACAATCGAAAATTAATAATTCATAGAAAATGATAAGCGATTTTTGTAACTAGATCATGAGTGTGTAAGGTAGTCTATCTATCTCTATTGCACTCATGGGATTTGCATCTGGACTTGCACTTGTACTTGGCTTTTGCACCTATTCTAGAATCGCCATGATACTTTACTTGGCATTATTTATTCTCCTTTTTGAAAATCAGTAATAATAAATTAATATGTCGACAAAATAATTTAGATAATTATATTATATAAGTATGTTTAAAACCTATTCAATTCGGTAGATGTAATCTTTAGTAATAGGCACGTGCCACTTCAATGTACAATAACTTTCAAAATTTTTTATTTTACTATTCTATATCATGTAGTTAAAAACATTTTTATTTAAATATTTTAAAATTGCAATTGTTCAACTACATATAATTATTTACAATCGTAGTGTAATTTTTTTTCATTGCACAGCATTTTTTTATATCGCTTTTAAAAATGCATTTTTCAAATTTTCTTATGCTACTGTACTTCAATAGTTCTTTGTAATTATTTTCCATTCAAATTTTTTTCAAATTATCCATTCTTGTACAAAAATAAAAATTTTAAGTTTACATCTTCTAAAAATAATGATTATTAATAATTAGTATAAAATTAGACTAATAATTTTTAAATTCTTTAGAAATATACAATATAATATAAAATCATGTGTACATAAAACGACGACGATGATAATCATAGAGCTAAATGAAATACTTAAAAAATCTGTTTTACTATAAAATTGATTATAAAATATCTGTAAAAAGTTTAAAGAATACTTTTCTTATTTTAAAAACAATTCACATTTGGAATAGAGAACAAAAAAGATAATTCGGAAGTGCAAACCTTGCAGATTCTGAAACTGTACGGTTGGCAATACTACTTAATGTACCTATATATTCAAATATATATATGTTTATTATTAATTTGCAAATAGCCGCTTAGAAAACGTTGTTTTTTTTGGAAATTAACTATTTTTCATACACTGAAAGAAAATTCATACTACTAAGTATTAAACTCATATTAGAGTTTAATATAAATGTTACAATTTAGGGAAAAACTGCATCTATGTTGATTACTATTACAGTTTTTATGAAAATATATAATGAATTTAAGAGTAACTATTATTTTAAGAAATAAGAATTAGTATATTTATTTTAAAAATTAGTATTTTCTTTATGAATTCACAGAATACGAAATATTATAATAAATAATTTCACAAAATAGTAAGAAAAATAACATATATCCGTATACTTATTTCACATTTTGTAAAACTTTATATTAAAAGTCACGGATTTTCCCGAGAGACTACGAATTTAACCGAAGTTCTGTCTGTTTGCGGCTTCGTGTCCTACTCGAACTTCTACGACTTGATCCGATTTTCGAAAGTGTTGTTAACCAGCAGAACGTACCTATCAACTGTCAACACACGTGTTTCAAATGTTTATAGTGTTTTAAATTCTTTTTAATTTAAATTTATTTTCAATTTATAAAAAATGTTTTATTAAAGTTATTTAATAATAATAAATTTATTATTAATTATTAAATTTATTATTATTTTTATTAATTTTTATTTTTTGATGTCATCTTTACAATTATTTGATTTTTATTTGCAATAAAAATTTTTATAACAATCATAATTTTTAATCTGAAAAAAAAGAAAAATCTATATAAACAATTAATAATAAAAATGAACCCAGCGTAACCTCTATAAAATTACACCATTGGCACTAGTAAACTATTTTTTATTATTAAGTTATTATAAGTAAACTTCTTTCTCGCAAGTGGTAAAAATATTCAGTAGTTAGTATATAAGAAAACGATATATGCCGACCCCTAGCGAAATTTATCGTTATGCGTATAGAATTGTAAGTGTAGGTTTCGTTGCGATCGTGTAATGTCTATGTATAAGCGAAATGAACGTGCGTGTTCATTAGTATGTGTATTAACCTGTATCGTAAGTGTGAATGTGTTGTTCCTAGTCTCACTCCTCTTCCTCCCGAGAATTAACGGAAACGTCCGACAGTTTCCGCTTTTTTCCCCTTTTCTTCCGACATTCTGAATTTTTCGTATGAAGTTTTACAAATATTAGAATGCTACATTCCATATAATGCAACAACTCTATGAGTTTTTGAAAGTTCATAATAGAAATTTAATATAATATTTTCAAATATTGGTAATCTTTTTACGTTCTTTCTACAATAATTATTAATATTTGAAAAAAGATTTTAAGTTGGAACTTTAATATAAAGTATATTGAATTTTAATAAAAAGTACACTTTTCCCTAAATTCTAAAAGAATATATTAAAATGTAATACGCATTTTGTTATTTTTTCCTATGAAATTTCTTTCAGTGTAGTGATATTTGCGAGTGTTCGATTTATAATATAAATACATAAAATAAAAAAAAGTGTTGACCATTAAATAAAGACTATTAGTCTAAAAAATGGGACAATTATCTACAAATAAATATAAAAACCTGTCAACAGGTCAAAGGCGGAAATCTCAAAAGTTTTCTGCACGTGCGTTGTAAGATTAAAGTCAATTTTAAGTTTAATTATAAAAACGTTCACAAGCAAATAAATTAAGTTATACAATTTTTTGTTAAATTAGAAATAGACTTACCAAAGTGTGAAAATGTTCATAAGTAATAGTATTTATTTTTCTTTGTTTACTATTTAAATGGTATTTATATTTTCGTCCTTGAAGACCTTTTTTTGCCGCTAGGTGGCTACCTCTGAACACGTTTTCGCTTGTTGCTCAGTATACTTTTTTAAATAAATTTTTTCGAGTTTGGTTCGGCTTGAGTGTTTTCGGTCAATCTGGTTGTTGGTTTTGGTGCCTACAATTTGTTACTGTTTTTATTTATTTTGTCTTCCTCTTAATCATTGAGGACCGTGCTTATAGTTTCCTAACCTCAAAATTGACTTTGATATAAAATGTGTGACTCGAAATTAAATAGTGGTGATAAATTTTGTGTTCGTTGTGGCAAAAGAGTTGTAGATGCTATTAAAGAGTGCATTGGTTGTCATGCTCCGTACCACTCCTCATGTGCATCCCGGTCATTGCTGTTAGAAAATGGTTCTTTTTCGCGATGTTGTGGTCCACCACGTGCGAATTCACCCAACAGTCTTGATGTTCCCCCCCCCTCATCTTCTCAAGTGCAAACTGCTGTTACTGCATCTGATATTGAGCGAATAGTGAATAATGCAATGTCTGCCTTAAACAATAAATTAGACACAATGTCTGCCTCAATAAAAGATATAAAAAATGATATTTGAAATATCACTTCTGACGTACATGACATAGTTGAGGATCTGAACGCCTTGCACACTACAGTTGGTAGCACTGTCAAAAGAGTTGACAATTTAACTGAGAGAGTTACGAGTATTGAAGGTAATTTGCACGATTTATCAAATAATGCGTCTACAAAATTAGATCGTTTTTCTCAAATTAATAATTGTTTATCTGAACTTGAGGACAGAATAAAACGAAAATGTAATTTAATACTGTTTGGTCTTTCTGAATCGAGTGTCACTACTTGTGACAATGATGATAAAAAAACTGACGAATTTAATACACTCAAGCTTGTTTCAACATTTTTCGATTCTTCCTCAATAGCTGGTACTAAGATTCATAGAATTGGCAATTTTAAACAGGGCAACCAGAAACCAAGACCAATAATGCTGGTGCTGAAAAACGAAACTTTGGCGAAGTCACTGCACATAGAATTTATAAGAGCAAAGAAGGCTGCACTGGACAATACACTGCAAGGGATATCACTGCATCCGGACAAAACGAAAAACCAACTAGAGGAATTAACATCGCTGAAAAAGGAATTAGAGCATCGAATTTCTCAGGGAGAGAAAGATCTCCATTTAATATACCAACGAGGTGTACCGGTGCTAATCAAACGCACACTGCCAGTGGTAGTAGATCGGGCGTCTATTCTCACTTCGCAAGCAGTGAAACAGCTGGTGACTCCAGACATACAGTCTCCAAATGTGTGAGTTCTTACTCCTACATGCAGAATACTCCCTCCCAGTCTATCCCCACTAATACGCGCTGTGAATCATCTGTCTCCTCAGCTACACACTTACCTAAAACTGATGTCAATTTATATTACCAAAATGTGAGAGGTCTCAGAACGAAATTGGATGCTTTACGCCATAGTCTGTCTTCAACAATATATGACATTTTTGTATTTACTGAAACATGGCTAAATGATGACTTCCACAATAATGAATTGGGATTTCATAATTGTAACATATTCAGGTTTGACAGGTGTTCTCTTTCTAGTGTATTTAAACGTGGTGGTGGTGTACTGATTGCTACGAGTTTTTTCTTACGTGCTTCGTTGATCGAATCTGAAGTAAATTCAATTGAACATTTACTGGTAAAATGTCACATAAATTCTGATATTTATATTTTTTGTGCCTTTTATATACCTCCAAATTCGGACATAAATATTTATATTACAGTTAATAAAATTTTAGAAAATGTTGCTTTGTCATATCCACATGCCGTATTATGTATCTTGGGTGATTTCAACACACCTTTTATTTGTTGGGATTATAACCCAAATCTTAATTTGGCTAATAGTTGTTTGCCGAGTTCTTCACTATCACAAAGAAAAATTGCAGATATTATTTTTGAGTTATTAAACTATTTAAATTTGAGTCAATTGAACACTTTTACTAACAGTTGTAATACGATCTTAGATCTTTTATTTTATAATTCATACAACTATACGCTTACTTTGGCGATCGATATAATTGTTTTAATCGATGTATTACATCCTCCAATTTTGTTTACGATTAATACTGATTATGCGCACTTATCTACTGCTTCGGACTCTCGCTTATATAAGTATGATTTTAAAAATGCAAATTATGCTGGATTTATGTCTTTCTTTGGTAATATTGATTGGGGTACTTGTCTAAATAACACTGATGTTAATTTTGCTTTAAATATTTTTTATGAATACG